GCAGACAGGCATGGGAACTGATAAATGGTCCAAATCTAAGGTTTGGGAAAGCTCTCATCTCCCTGACAAGGAAAACCTTAAGTACACTGGTTGGAGTCCTAACTGGGCACAATCTGCTAAACCGCAACAAAATGGTGTTGGGACTCCATGGCAATGGTCTGTGTGATGCACTGAATTAGAGACCTCTCTGCATTACTTAGGCCACTGTCTGGCTCTGAGCAGTCAAATAAAAATAATTCTAATTTAGTGAGAGTGCCAGAGAAAAATCATTATAGTAAAAATTACATCCTGCTTTTGGAAAGGGGAGGGGCTTACGGCATCACTCGCTGAAAAAAAAAAAGAGTGCTATTGCCAAAGTTTTCTATAACACCTAGCCTGGCCCTTGCCTTCCTATGCAGTTCCGCTCAATTCTAAGAGTCTGGTTTTTACTGGGAAAACTTGCTATAATTGTTGCTAGTTGCTTTTTAGAAAAAAAAATAGTTAGGAGAGTCTGCAAACTTAAATCTAGTGACAAAGTCATTAAGTTGGAAACACTGCTCACGTCCCTTCAGTCAGGGCCAGATAGATGGTTACATGTTCTTTAGACGTTCCCAAGAATTAACAAGAAATTCTCCACTGCCCCGTAATAATGCATGCGCACGCACGCACGCATGCATCTCTCTATCCTTGTGGGGACTTTCCATTGACTTCCATTCATTTTTTTGAAATTTTATAGCCTAACCCTGACAATTTACCCTAAGGCTAACCTCACAGCTCTGACCCTAAAACTAACCTAAACTCAATTCACACCTTGGTCCTAAACCCAACCCCCAACCAACCAATGGTCTTTAAACCAAATGAGGACTCGACTTTTGTCCCCAAATGCACCAATTGTCCCCAAATGTAGGATTTTTGTTTTAAAATTGCCCCCAAATGTCACCAAAGCCGAACCCCCCTCCCCACACACACACAACTATAATCATATACACACACAAGACCTATGTAGCAGTGGAAACAAAATAATAAAAGTATAAGGTAAAAGTAAACAACAAAAAAACGTTACAGATAGAGCTACTGGAGTGGCCGCCACTTGTAAGTCACGGTATCATGTTCGACAGGCTGTAATCTACCCGACCACCCTTCTCCTTTTTGTCTCACACTCATATTTTAAGAACTGTTATTCAGTGACTTACATCTAGTTAATATACTTTAGTTTAAGCTGTATTTGTATATACAATATTTTTTAAATGAACCAAGTAGCTTAAATACACATTGTCTTTCTTTTCTAAAAATAATAATATTACAAGGTAAAAATAAACAAACAAAAAAAAAACATGTTACAGATAGAGGTACTGGAGTGGCCGCCACTTGTAAGTCACGGTATCATGTTGGACAGGCCGTAATCTACCCGACCACTCTTCTCCTTTTTGTCTTACACTAATATTTTAAGAACTGTTATTCGGTGACTTGCTTGTAGTTAATATACTTTAGTTTAACCTGTATTTGTATATACAATATTTTTTAAATGAACCAAGTAGCTTAAATACACATTGTCTTTCTTTTCTAAAAATAATAATA